GTGGAGATTGCAGCGAGCCAAGATTGCGCCATTGCACTCCAGCCTGGGCAACAGAGTAAGACTCCGCCTCAAAAATAAATAAATAAATAAACACTAAAATGAAATGCAACACCGCCAGGGCTGCTTGTGGGGTGCCAGTAACTGGAGGGTTTTTTTTGTTTTTTGTTTTTTTTGAGACAGAGTCTTGCTTTGTTGCCCAGGCTGGAGTACAATGAGGCAGTCCTGGCTCACTGCAACTTCCGCCTCCTGGGTTCAAGTGACACTCCTGCCTCAGCCTCCCAAGTAGCTGGGATTACAGGCACCCGCCACCATGCCCAGCTAAGTTTTTCGTATTTTTAATAGAGACGGAGTTTCACCAGGTTAACCAGGCTGGTCTCGAACTCCTGACCTCAGGTGATCCACTCACCTTAGCCTCCCAAAGTGCTGGGATTAGAGGTGTGAGCCACCACGCCTAGCCCAGTTACTGGAGGGAGTAAGCAGGGGGAGTGATCTTCTTTCCTTCAGCATCACTGGACAGCTGGTGCGACCATGTCTCGCTTGAGTCCCAGAAGAACAGTGAGCACTGGAGTCCTGGTTTCTGTCTGACTCATTTTACGAACTGCTTTGTGTATGGGACCATTGGACCCTCTGCCCTTGGCTAAGTCCAGCAAAACACTTTACCTGGCTGTAGAGGACCCCCCTTTAGGGCAGCTGGCCACTCTCCTTCAGTGCTGACCCTTCCCTCTGTGGCCCAGTGATACCTGCCTGCCACACAGGTAAGCTAAGGTGTGTGGAGTGGTTTCTATAGACCTGATGGGACTGGGGCTTGTCAATGGGGCTCTGTAACCCAGGGTCATTCAGGGCTGCCTGAGACCCCACCCACGGAGGAAGTTCTGGTACTATTAGGCACGCAGCAGTGTCCTCCTGGGGCTTGGCGTGAGCTCCCTCAAGGGTCTCTCTTAGGCCCCAAGCCCAGGCCAGTGGGAAAGAAAGGAACTGCTTTCTTTTTTTTTTTTTTTGGAAACGGAGTTTTGCTTTTGTTGCCGAGGCTGGAGTGCAGTGGTGCAATCTTGGCTCACTGAAACCTCTGTCTCCCAGGTTTAAGTGATTCTCCTGCCTCAGCCTCGCTAAGTTTTTTCTATTTAGTAGAGACGGGGTTTCACCATGAAGATCAGGCTGGTGGTGAACTGCTGACCTCAGGTGATCCACCCACCTTGGCCTCCCAAAGTGCTGGGATTACAGACATGAGCCACCATACCTGGCCAAGAACTCCTTTTTGAGTCTTCTTCTGATGTCTGGGCTCCACCCTTGTGGGAGACTCCCAGCTAAGCCCAGGGCCCAGGGCTCATAGGGCCCTGCTGTTGTTCTAGCTACAGGTGGCAGGAGAGCTAGGTTTCCCATGCCTTTAGAGTCCCACACATCTAGGGTTTCTCTGTCTATATTGTGGACTCCGTGGGGGCTCCGGGCCTCACTGGGCAACACGGTCGATGTGTAATACATATGTGTTGAATTGACATTAAATTCAGCCAGGTATAATGCCCAGAAAGACAAATACTGCATGTTCTCACTCCTATATGGGGGCTCAGAAGGTGGATCTCACAGAGGAAGTGAATGGAGTGCTGGCAACCAGAGGCTGGGAAGGGTAGGAGGGAGAAGGGATGGAGAGGTTGGTTCATGGATACAAACATACAGTTAGATAGAAGGAATAAGCTCTAGTGTTTGACAGCACAGTCGGTGACTACAGTTATCAATAATGCATTGTGTATTTCACAATTACCTAGAACAGAAAATTTGGAATGTCCTCAACACAAAGGAATGATACGTGTTTGAGGTGATGGAAATCCCAGTTACCCTGACACAATCATTACCCATTGTGTGCATGTATCCAAATATCATGTGGACCCCATAATATGATTATGTATCAATCAAAATTGTTAGTCAGGTATAGTATGGCAGTTCCTTAAAAAAGTAAACATAGAATCACAACATGATCCAACAACCCCACTTCTGGGTATATGCCCAAAAGAATTGAAAGCAGGGACTTGAACAGACATTTGTACACCAATATTCATAGCTGTATTATTCAAAATAGCAAAAAGATGGGACAAGCCAAATGTTCATTAACAGATAAATATGTAAACAAGATGCAGTATACCCATACATAAACCAGGAATAAAATTCTAAGCCCCCTAACCAACTGAATGGACCTCCTCTTGGCCAAGGGCATTCCAAAGTTAATCTGAGGCCAGGCGCAGTGGCTCACGCCTGTGATCCAAGCACTTTGGGAATTCAAGGCGGGTGGATCACCTGAGGTCAGGAGTCCGAGACCAGCCTGGCCAACACAGTAAAACCCCGTCTCTACTAAAAAATACAAACATTAGATGGGCATGGTGGCAGGCACCTGTAATCCCAGCTACTTGAGAGGCTGAGGCAGGAGAATCGCTTGAACCTGGGAGGCAGAGGTTGCAGTGAGCCGAGATTGCACCACTGCACTCCAGCCTGGGCAACAGAGTGAGACTCTGTCTCAAAACACAACAACAAAAACAAAATTTTTGTTTGGCGGTCCATCCATGATGGGAATAAGGGGTCAGGCATGCCTCCTTTTACCCTCCCCACTTTGAAATTCAGGCATAACTGACCAATATTAACATTAAAACAGAGACCTTAAGAGAATTTATGCTTTCTGAAGTCTGCTACGTGGAGGCTTCATCTGCATAATAAATTCCTTGGTCTCCACAACCCACAACCCCTAATTTTAACCCATGCACTCCCCTTCTATGGATTCCAGATCTTTAGATTAAACTCTTTCAACCAACTGCCAGTCAGAAAATCTTTGAATCCACCTATGACCTGGAAGCCTCCTGAGGCTGTAATCATGGGCATGTCCTTAACCCTGGCAAAATGGACTTCTAAACTGATTGAGACTTGTCTCAGATACTTAGGGTTTACACATACAATGGAATATCATTCAACTTTATGAAGGAAGAAATTTTTAAAGGAAGAAAAAAGAAAAAGGAACAAAATTTTGACACGTGCTACAATATGGCTGAACCTTAAGGACTTTGTGCTAAGTGAAATAAGCCAGTCACAAAAGAACAAATGGTAAATGTGTCATTTCACTTATATGAGGTACCTAAAGTAGTCAGATTGATAGAGACAGAGAGTAAAACAGTAACTGTCAGGGGCTGGGGGAGGACGGGAAAGGGAGTTACTGTTTAATGGGTACAGTTTCCATTTGGGAAGATGAAAAATGTTCTGGAGATGCATGGTGGTGATGGTCCCACAACAATGTTAATGCACTTAATGGCACTGAACTGTACACATAAAAGGGATTAAAATGGTAAGTATTGTGTTATACATATTTCACCACAATTAAAAGCATACATTAATTGTAATTAATTTTAGCCTGGTAATCTCTCAATGTCACCTTGTTTTGGTGCTGCTCTATGTAGATTGTTCAACATGATACAAAGCATGACTGGAAAAGATCAATCTTGCTGACATTTACTCGGGCTTAAGATAGGGCTCAAGGGCCTTGCTATTTTGGTCTTGTGCAAACTGCTGCAGTCCACCTACTGGCTGGATGCCCTCACTGCAGGCAAAGCACCAGGACTTCTTACAATACCACCCATGGACCCAAGTGGGACGCTGGTGGCCTTGTGGTAAGCTGTGACAGGAATGCACAAGGATCTCCCGGCTTTTTGGCTGACATCGCCGGCCCAGTGATGTGAGGTGCAGGGATTCTTTGCTCTGACTCAGCTCAATCTCCCTGTGCAAAGGGCTTTTGGAAGGACTAGAAAAATCTGCTTCCTTCACCCACTGGGAGCCATATATTCTCTTTGACTTTTGTTTGCAGGAGTAAAACAAACAGACGCTTGGGGAAAACAAACCAAAAAAGGGGGAAGGGGAGGCTGGTGCTGGCTGGCAACCTTGACTCAGCGCTCGGCAGGAGGTCCATTCGGAACAGAAACCCTCATCCTGCACTTTCCTCACCCAGCCCTGAAATCACAAACAACCCCTTGGCCAGGGTCCTAATGAGCCTCTGACAAACACAACTCGCCCTTCTGACACAGAAAACACAATTAGACATGCACAAGTGGCCTGTGAAATGCCACGCCGGGCACTTGAGCTCTCCATGAATGCCACCCCCTGTACCCTGGGACTTCTCGGAAAAAACATCGCTTGGGCTCCTTATGGGTGGTAATGGCTAATAACACAGAGAGAACACCGTGTTTTGGTGTCAGGCCTTTGGCCAGGACGGTGAGAGAGGGGTGTGTGTGTGTGTGTGTGTGTGTGTGTGTGTGTGTGTGTGTTTAGTGATGGTAGTGGGTGACATCTATTTCCATTTTTCCATCATAAAGGAATTGAAATCCTATAGCGTGTCAGCAATGCCGATATTTCAGGGTGAAATAAACAAGTAAAATGTGTGAGCATTCAGATGAGCTCCAGGAGCCTGTGACGTTGGGAAAGTCACCGACTGCTGGGGCCTCGGTCTTCTCATCTGTAAAATGAGGATAATAATAGAAACCACCTTCCGTTCATGGTGATTGAGTGAGCTGTCGCAGGTACAGCACTCAGCCCCAGGCCTGGTACATAGTTAGGACTCATTAAACGTTAGCTCTTAGTTTAAAAACAAGCGTTATGCGTTTTAGTCCATTTAAGGAGTCACTTTTGAATATCTGCTTGTAAACTCCCATATGAAGCTGGCTGTGAAAACACAGAAAACACAGTCTTTACGCTCACAGAGCTTGAGGACAACCAGGGTGACAAGAAAACCATCCGGGCAGGGTCAGCTCAGTGCTGGCGCGTTTGGCAGCAACCAGGAGACGGCTGTGGCTTGCTTCAGGTCTGTTTGTTTCTTCTAATTTTTGTTAGCTTTTTTCCTTTGGTGGTGGAGGAAGGGCGGTTTCTGTAGGCTGCAGACAGCAGGGTATGGATCATTGGTCTGGTCAGGTTTTAATCAAGTGAAATCTGCTCTTCATTTGTTTGTTACTGCTACATAGCACATGATTTTCAAGGGATAAGTTGTTAGGATGTTTTTAATTGTGATGATGAAATTCCAGCTCAAGTTAACTTAAGCACAAGTAAACAAGGAAAATTCCAAATAGGGAGTTTACTTTCTTACATAACTTCAGAGAACAAAGATGGGTATCTTGCTAGCTTCAGTCATAGCTGGACCCAGGTACTCAAATCTCTCTCTTTCTCTGTCTTCTTTCTTCATTGTCTGATAGCTTCAGGCACACACGGTAAACCCTCAGCTCATGATTTCAGAGTAAGAGAGAGCCTCCTCTTGGACCAACAACTGTAGGCAGGGAAATGGGGCACCACAGTTGAGCAGACATGGGTCACATGCCCCCAAAGCCAGGGGGTAGGTTGACCAGCATCTCCACAGGACCGACAGGGAGCAGATGGGATGCAAGGCTGACAAACTCTGTCAGTGAGACTCTGTGGATAGAAAGCATGAGTAGGTGCCAAACATTCCAGGTAAGCAGCGAATGCAGATTTCCTCCTTGCATCTCACCCAACTGTGCTTAAAATGGCTTGTCTGGCACACTTTGAGGGGTTAGCCTATTTTCTTGCATTCAAAAGAATTTCTAACTCTTTGTTCTTGAATCAAATCCAGTGAGTGAAGACTAAGTGTTCCAGATGGGCCAACCATGCAGAAGCATGGTGGCAGCTCTGAGATGCCGCCCAGTGAGCCCCAGTAGTCACATCCTGGAGAGTCCCTTCTTCACTGAATAGGACCCATCTGGCAACCAGTAGGACTGCAGAAATGATGTCCAAGGTTAGGCCATAAAAGACATGGTTCCTGCCTTGCTCTCCTTGAATCACTTACTCGGGAGCAGCCAGCTGCCATGTTGTAAGGACACTCAAGCAGCTCTGTGGAGGAGTCCATGTAGTGGGAAGCTGAAGCCTCCCACCAACAGCCAGCACCAACCTGCCAGGCAGGTGGGTGCACCACCTCAGAGGTAAATCCTCCAGCCCAAGTTGAACCTCCAATGACACAGCCCCAGCTGACACCCTGACTGCAACCCCATGAAATCCCTGAGCTAGAACCACCCAGCTAAGCCACTCCTGAATTCCTGACCCACAGAAACTATGAAATAATAAATGTTCATTGTCATTTCAAGCCACTAAGTTTTGGGGTCATTTGTTACACAGCAGTAGAAATCTGATACAGGCATACTGTGGTCCCTTCCTCCCTTCCCAGGGACAGAGTCACTTTGGAAAGCTTCCTCAGATCATTTTCAAAGTACTTCTCAATAACTCTCTTAGTTCTTGTTACAAAGTTTTAGTTTCACAAATGGACTCCTACTGATATCACAGGCTGCTCCAACCCTCAACAGTGAGTTTGCTAATAAAACAAAATCAGGGACTGGGCACGGTGGCTCACGTCTGTAATCCCAGCACTTTGGGAGGCCAAGATGGGCAGATCACCTGAGGTCAGGAGTTCGAGACCAGCCTGACCAACATGGAGAAACCTCATCTCTACTAAAAATACAAAATTAGCCGGGCATGGTGGCAAACGCCTGTAATCCCAGCTACTTGGGAGGCTGAGGCAGGAGAATTGCTTGAACCCAGGAGGCAGAGGTTGTGGTGAGCCGAGATCATGCTACTTCACTCCAGCCTGGGTAACAGAGTGAAAAAACAAAAAAATCAGGTTTCCACTGCATTTACTTCCCTCTCTCGTACTGGGTATGGAGGTAGTTGAAATTCTAACAGGAAGGATGCCTTCAAAATTCTGCCAGTCTCCCTCCTTGTTACTGTGTATGACGTGGTATGACATGCTATCACAGTACTGCAAAGTCATTGATAACATGTGGCAGGGGTGCCCTGGGTTCTGAAGCTCCACCAAGTCCTCCAGGCAATCTTCTGGCTGTAGTAGCGCCTCCCTGGGAGATGAGCTAGAATTCAAGGAAGTCTGATCCTAGGCTGTTTGCATCAAGTGAGGACTCAGGGAAGAGATGGCTCCTGAGCACACCCTTCAATGCCCCCCTCCCCTGAGGTGACTGGGACATACCCCACACATACGCCACCTGGGTCCCCTGCTGTTGCAAAGCAGTTTCCCTCCTCTTCTACAAGCCCTCAGTCACGTAGGTGCCAGCACCTGGGCCCCTCCCACAGAGAGCCTGGTGCTGGGCACCTTTCTGATCCTATGGCATGTGCTTTTCTTCCCCTGCCAGGATCCAGATGTTATCATTCCCCAGAAGCTCAAACTACATCTCCCTGCTCTCCCATCGTTGAACTCCAATCACGGAAAGAAAGCCATACAAACCAGTGCTCCTCAGTGTAGCAGCCAGGACTCTGCAAGTGATAGAAAGTCCTGCACACAGGCTTCAGCCCATCCTCAGGTCTCTGCTTCCTCCGCATGCTGGATTTGTTTGGGTTGGTCCCCAGCTGCCCTGTGAGGCAAGGCAGGCCTTGATATTCACTTGCCGCATCAGGTGCCACTTGCCTCTGCAGAAAAATTTTAGGCTCCTCAAGGTCAGGGTCCACTTCTACTCCTCCTAGCAGAGTGTAAATAGAAACAGTCCCCTCATCCTGTCTCTGCTCGCATAACCTCTGCGACAGGACGCTCACTACTTGCAGAAGTAATTTTTTTTGTGGAGTTGGTCTCCGCCCCTCTGTGCCACCCATTGGGCCAGTTCTGCCTAATAGCAAAGAACGCTGTTCATCAATCTTCTTCCTTCCCTTCCTTCCCTTTTGCCCATAAGTCACCGATGGATGGACTGGACCCACGGGTAACGTCTATGGATGACTCTGTGTCTTCCTTCCACAGGGCATGGAGCTCCTCCACCCTGCATCAGGCACAAGCCTACTTTTGGGGAAAGTCTCACCATCTCATTTTCCCTTGCTTAAAATAGCTACTTCCTTTTTGGGGAATGCAGCGTGGTGGCGAGCAATGAAAGGGATGAGGGAAGTTGTCCACAGATGCCTGGTTTGGAGTCATTCCTGGAAAGGTCAGTGTTTTCATCAGCCAAACAGGAGGCAGGGCATTTCCGGCTGGTCATTAACCGAGGCAAACAGCATGGTGGGGAAAGTCAAAGCCACAGCCAACCACAAACAAACAAGTCATGTATCCTCGGTGGAGTTGACTTTCTTCTAAAGGAACGTGTGGTTGTTTGCAGATAATAGCAAATCCATTTCACGTCAGATCAGGATGACAGACAGCCAGAGGCTGCTGGGGTCACATTAAATCGCTCTTTTATGGTAATAAATTGTTTCCTTTTCATGGTTGCATGAGCAATCTGAAGTTTTATTTTGAGGTGTAAGCTGCCCTCAGGGACACCTGCCGCAGGTGGGATCTTGGGTCCTGGCCACCATATGTGAGAGAGCAGACCCTGGCTGAGTCACTCAGCTGTGGTTGCATCACCCCTGTCCCTGCCCCACTCCTCAGCCCCACGCAGGTCGGCAGGGGAGGCCTCTTCTCCCCAACGGGGTCTCCCTTTCTTCCTCTCACGCTGACCATTGGAAACAGGGGCTGGCATTTGCCACAGTGCCGAGGGCTCTCAGACTTCACAGCTGAGGAAATGACAAGATTTGTTGGCAGCCACTTAAAATTACCAGTTCCCCAGCGGGTCTCACTGTCCCTGTGCTGGTGGCCCTGCTGACTTGGGGCCTGGCTAGAGAGAGGTGGGCCTTCTGTGCCTCACCTGGGCCATCCCTACCATCTGGTGAGGTTGGGTTACATCCAGCCAGGAGGCAGCTGGCAGGGCCCCGTGGCTTGTCTGAGGACCCAAGAGGGAACTTATCCGACAAGAGAGAGAGGGGACTGAGGGGTGACATGTAAGAGGGAGGGCGCTAGGAGAGTATACATGCTTCTTAAAAGGTCATGGATTCTACTGGAATTCCCAGCCAAACTTCAGGATTGGGACGCACCCTTCTTAGGAGGAGGCTAGAGGCTCAGGCCAGCTTGGCTCATCCCTGGCCTGCAGGCCTTGCTCCTGAGCACAGGGCAGGGGCTGCTGGCCCTGGTTCAGAATGGGATCTGAAGGCTGCCTGGAGAGAATGGGCGTCTGGATCAGGATCACCAGGGTGGGACCTGGATATTTCCCACAGTCACCAGACGTGTTGCTCAGAGGGAGGTTCCTGGCCAGCAAGCAGCTCTGTTGGCATCACCTGGGAGCTTGTTGAAAATGCAGAATCTTGAGCTCTGCCCAGACTTACTCCATCAGAATGTGCATGGTAAATGATCCCCGCTGACCTGGGCACTGGGGTTCGAGGACCTCGGCCCTGCCAAATCTGAAATCCAGAGCTAGGCCAAAGTACACTTGTGGAATCAAGATGCTGAATCTAAGTTGAATGCAGAAGCATCCTTTGAGCAAAAGTGGTGGAGTGGGCTGAATTATGACCCTCTCAAAAGATGTCCATGTCTCAGAAACGCAGAATGTGACCCTATTTGGAAACAGGGTCTTTGCAGATACAATGAAAAATCTTGAGGTGAAATCACCCTGACTTATCCAAGTGGGTCCCAAATCCAATGACAAGTATCCTTGTAAGAGAAGAGGAGAAGACATAGAGACACAGGCAAGAAGGTCACGTGAAGACAGAGACAGAGATTGGAGTGATGCGGCCACAAGCCAAGAAACACCTGGAGCCACCAGAAGCTGGAGGAGGCAGGAAAGATCCTCCCCTCAAGCTTTTAGAGTGCATGCCCCTGCAGAAACCTTGGTTTTGGACTTCTGGCTTCCAGAACAGTGAGACATTACATTTGTGTTGTTGTAAGCCAGCAAGTTCGTGGTCATGATTACAGCAACCATAGGAAACTAAAGCAGGTAGCCTTTTCAGACTCTGCAGAGGAAAAAAAAAACATGGCCAAAGTTACCCAAGAAAGATTTGATGAACCCACCAGTCCCCAGTCACAGCAATCTTAGCTTTGTTCCCAGAATTAGCTGACTTCCTCTACCCCATTTCCTTACTCCTTTTTAATGCTCCGTAAAACCCAAAGACAGTTGAGACCTGGTCCTGCATGGCTGGCTGATCACCAGACCGTCAAAAGCTGCCGGCTCCTTCATGCTCCCAAACATGACTATTTTATTTACTCCTAACTTCACCTTGTTTGGAAATTATTTAAAGCAGTTTCAGTGGAGTGAAACTGAGTCATATTTTAACTGCTTAAGTACCACTTAAAAACAGACTTTACGAGTTCACTTGGATCAAGAAACAGAAGAAGGAAACAAAAGAAAAAAGAAAAAGAAAAGAAAAGAAACAAAAGAAAAAAGAATAAAAACAGATGTCAACAAGTCCTTTGGCAAATGATCCCACAATGGCTTCATTTTCTGAGCTTAGATGGTGCTAGATAAGGTTAATTTAAAACGAGGTATCCTAGTACCAGATTCAAATGGACAGAAACTCGAAGTTTCTGGGGTCATTTTCCTTTTAGTAAGTTTTTAGGATTCAAAGATAAAGATTCAGGGCAGTGGTTCTCAGCTTTGACTCACACTAGAATAATTTGGGGAGCTTAAAAAGAACAGCCACATTCCAGACTCTCCCCAGATCAGGGAAATCAGAATCTTGCGGGGTAGAGCCCACCCTGGGGCTCCATGGAACCCCCCAGCCAGACCCTGCACGCAACTCCACACTGACTCCCACATGCTGCAGGGTGTAGTGTGGTCACATGCCCAGGGCTGGCCAATCAGATGTGCTCACCCTGAGCTCACCTGTGAAGGGGCAGGCACCATCCGGGATCCATTCTGCCAGGTGTGGTCAGGGCTCCCGGGCAGTGCTGGTGTGGACAGTGGTGGGATAGCTGTGGGCTGGCACCCCATTGTACAGATGAGGACACAACTCAGAGGGACCCAGAGAGTTGTCCAAAGTCCCATAACTAAGGACTGGCAGAGCTGGGATTTGAATCCAGCCCCTCTGGCTGCAACGCCTGCCACTTTTCCTCCCTTGAACCAGCTCTGTGCCTTAATTAGGGGCAGTGTTGGCGGGGCGCGGCGGTTCATGCCTGTAATCCCAGCACTTTGGGAGCCCGAAGCGGGCGGATCACCTGAGGTCAGGAGTTCGAGATCAGCCTGGCCAACATGGTGAAACCCCGTCTCTACCAAAAATACAAAAATTAGCTGGGTGTGGTGACAGGCGCCTGTAATCCCAGCTACCTGGGAAGCTGAGGCAGGAGAATCGCTTGAACCCAGGAGGTGGAAGGTGCAGTGAGCTGAGATGGTGCCACGACGCTCTAGCCTCGGTGACAAGAGAGAAACTCCGTCTCAAAAAAAAAAAAAAAGAAAAGAAAAGAAAAGAAAAAGAATTAGGGGCAGTATTCTGGACTCCGGCTCTCAGGCCTAGCTCTCTGACTCTCCCAGCGCATCCACGAACAACCAAACACGCCTCCTGCTTTTTTTCAAAGTTAACTTTGTCATTGAAGTATCAGATACATCAGAAAAGATCACAGATCCTAAGTGTGGAGCTCAATGAATTTTGACAAAGCAAACCCACTCATTTGTAATCAGAACCCAGACCAAGAAACAGAACAGGGCCAGCCCCCTGGAGACTCTCTCAGGGTCTCTCGACTGGTTCTGCCTGTTTTTGAGCTTTGTGGTAACAGCATGATATAGTGAGAGCACACTCTTCGTGTCTGGCTTCTTTGACTCAGCGTGGGTGAGAGTCATCCATGCTGCGGTACGTAGCTGAGGTTTCTCCAAACTCCGTGTTGTCTGGTGTGAAGGGCCATAGCCGGCTTACCTGTTGTATTGTGAATGGGCATTTGATGTTCGAATGGTGCTGCTAGGAATATTCTATTCTTGTGCCTGTCTTTTGGCACCAGTGTGTACCCAATACTCTCTTAAGAAATGCTTTTTTTGCTAAATTGAGCAGAGTTGGTCTCTGTTGCTTACAGCCAAGCACCTTGGTTGATGCCATTTATAAGCAATACTATTGTTCCCACTTCACAGAGGAGGAAACTGAGGTTCAGAGAGAGGTTCAGCCACAGGCCAGGCCTTAGTTATAACGCCATGTCACTAAAGAGTAGCAGAGCCGGGATTTGATCAGAGCTGCCCTCTTAACCAGTAGTTAAAGCACACAAGTGCATCTCCGCCCCTTAGACCTGCCTCATGCCGTACAGTGGTTTAACAGGTAATACCCACCCCCTTGATGGAAATGGCTGGGGCGGGGGACTGAGAGCTGCACTGATGGTGCTGTCCTGGGCAGGGCTTGGGATGTTGCCAGTGCGCAGGAGCCCTGAGAGCAGGATCAGTCCCTTCCAAGAGGGCTATGAGGGAGGGGGAAGCCTCCTGGGCTGCCACTGTGCCTGGCATCAGCCCTTCCCGAGGGAGGCTCCTCCTTGAGGGCAGGGGAGCTTCCTTTTGGAGGAGAGGGCAGGCTCCTTGACTGGGCAGAGCGGTGGTCTGGGCATTGCTGAAGCGGCCAGTGGAGACAGGGATCCCAGCCTTGAGATTCACCCACTGTCTCCCACGGGAATCCTAAGTATGAAAACGATGCTTCTGACTGACCGTCTGGCAGCCTCTGGTGAGGAGCTGTCCCTACCCACTCACCTCTGCAAATAGCAGAATGGCATATGGTGGCAGAAGGAAGGGTCCAGAAGGTAGTTCTTCCGCAGAATGACCCATGTGATGGGCTGCTCCGTGACGCATTGGAGTGGGGATCATTTCCTTGCAGTGGAGGAGTGGGTCAGAGGCCGGGCTTGTCACATGGGAGTCCCTCCTGGGGATGGGCCACCGCCGGATCCCTCTGTAAACAGCATTTGCATCCGATTCACTGCTCCAGAAAGTGGGGATCAGGGTCCCTGAAGCCAAGGAGCAGGCATAGAAGAGGCCAGAGGCGACTGGCAGCATGTTTGACAGGATGCATAAATCTCGTTAAATGGGAGAGAAGCCGAACACGCTGGCTGAGTACGGCAATTTAGACCTTCCTAGGTCATTCCCTGCGGGGGCTGCAGGCCTCAGTGTGGTTCTGACCTGCAGCAGCTGCAGCAGCATCTAGGAACTTGTTAGACTCACCGGTTTTGAGGTTGCTACTTAATCGGAAATTCTGCGGGTGGGGGCCAGCACTCTGTTTTAATATGCCAAGGGGATTCTGACGCATGCTCAAGTTTGAAAGCCACCAGCATTATGCAATATGAAGATGCAATC